CCCCCCCCCCCCAAAATGACGCGATGAGGCAGCCATGCCGGGAGGGGCTGCCGTACCCCAGAATTACCTCTTTAGGAGCGAAATCTTTCCTTGCTGGTATCGGAGTGCTCCCCCTAAAGAGAAGAAGCAGCGGGTCAGAGCTGTGGGAAAAGCTGTGTGTGTCTGCCCCTTGGGAGAGAAGCTGGGCTTGAGTGGGTAAGAGTTCTGCCCCATCCGGGGAACAGGTTAAACCCTTGTTAACTAGTCGTGCCAGCTTCAGTCACAAAAGGTCCCGGGAGGGCACAAAGGCACTCCGCGCTCCGCCAGGGAGCTCGCCCTCCCTCCAGGCTGCCCGGCCTCGTGCCACAGGCCACGTGGTGAAGGTGGGCCCAGGACCGTGGCCGGGTCCGGGAAGCCAGTATCCCACAGCAGCTCGTGTGACTGCCAGGCGCTACGGCCATGACCCTGCAGCTGTACTGTGGCAACCCTCATGGGGAGCTCACCGCACCTGTAGCTTCCCTGGGCCCTGCCATGACCGCCCCCCCCAGGACCCCCAGAGGTCTGGGTTCAGCAGGTGTGAGGCAGGACCCTGGAATTTCTCCCCTCCCTCACCCCCAAGCAGGAAAACACTGTTTTCCTCGGAAGCCGCTGGTTTCATCCATCCAACCCAACAAAGCCTGAGCGTCTACAATGGTCACAGGAATTTATAAAATAATACAAACACAGAAAACTGGCCTGCGGCCGCACCTACCCCAAACACTGACAGCGTTGTCTACTCCGGAGGGGTTCCCGTGAATCACTCTCTCCCCCTGGAAGGCCCACTTGTTAATTAATTCCAAGTCCTCCACTGTCCACCTGAAGAAGACACACAAGTCCATCTGTACCTTGGTGGAGAGGGGCAGCCGGGGCCGCTGAGGCAGCAAGGGGCGGGACCACACGAGCCAGGAACAGGAGAACAGCCTAGAACCTCTCCAGCTGCAGAGTCATCTCCTGCAATCCTCATGAAAACCCTACAGGGACGGTACAATTACTATCCCCTCTCCTACGGAAGAGGAAACTGAGGCACAGGTGGGTCAAGTAGATCCCCGTGCTGTGCACCGCTAAATCAGAACCACATCGGTTGAGGAGCCCAGGTTCTCAACTACCGAGCTTTATGGCGCCAACAGGACGTACTCATTTGTCCGATATTTACTGAGCATCTACTGTGTGCCTGTCGCTAAGCTCACGGTAGGGAACGAACGAGACACGGCCCCCAGCCACCTGAGGCTTGGCGTCTCGTGGAGAGGGGACGCCAAAAGCAATCGATATTTAACTACAACCCCCAGGAGGCTGGATGGCATGTACCCCATCCGGAAAGGGGGAGGGCCTGAGGGACAAGGGCACGGTCGGCAAGGCCAGAATGTGCGGGGAGAACATTCCAGACCGGGGCTGCACAGCACCTGCAACTGTGCAAGAGCCGGACCTTTCCAGGAACCGAAAGGCGAGCACGCGAGACAGAGAGGGGGCAGCTGGACCGCCCTCTCCGCAAAGGTGAATCTTCTTCCCACCCTGTGCACTGCTCATCCTCCGGAGGCTCAGATTTCCAACCCAGTCTTCACAGGAGACCGGATTCCGGTCTGATTCCAGCTCTGTCTGATTTAGAAACGCTGGGCAGGGGTTGGGGCCTGCTCTCACCAAAAGTCCTAGGAAGGAATGACTGGGTCTTCAGGGGTGGCGGGAGACCCGAATGTTAAGGAATCAGCGTGAGAAAGAGCACACGCACGCGCACACACACACACTTATGCACACACACACACACACACGAGTCACCCATGCCTTTTGAAAATTAATTAAAATTTTTTTAATGTTTATTTCTGAGACAGAAAGAGACAGAGCATGAGCAGGGGAGGGGCAGAGACAGAGGGAGACACAGAATCCGAAACGGGCTCCAGGCTCTGAGCTGTCAGCACGGAGCCCGATGCAGGGCTCGAACTCACGAACTGTGAGATCATGACTTGAGCTGAAGTCGGATGCTTAATCGACTCAGCCACCCAAGTGCCCCGAAAATTAAATTTTTGAAAAAAGTTTTAAGTAGGCTCCACACCCAATGTGGGGCTCAAACTCACGACCCTGAGATCAAAAGTCACATACTCCACTGCCTGAGCCAGCCAGGGACCCTCACCCATGCCTTTCAAAAGGCAGAGCTGGTCTGTTGGCCCATATACACGAGTCTGTTTAAGGGACCCAGGGCAAGCAGGCCTTCACTGATCTAGGTTATAATCAGTGATTAGCACATGGTAACGAGCACCATCTTATCACAGAAGCACCAAACGTCAAGGCTGGAGGGCCCCCTGAGGGACCGTCAGGTGCAGCCCCTCACTTCCAGATGAGGAAACAGAGCCCAGAGGAGAAGAGGGGGTGGCCCCACGCCCTGCAGCAAGTTAGCAGGCACACCTCACTGAAATCCCTGAAAACCATCACCTTGTGTTACCTCCAGGTGCGCCTCTCATCACCTACCAGATTCTTCCCCTGACAAAAGCCGCCTCCACCCCACCCCTCCTACTCCTCTCCACCCACAGGAACCATCCAGAGCGAGTCTCAGGAGTGCTGACAGACACATCACATCACGAGCCCGCAGATCCACTGTGGCCACGAGCATCAAAGGGACCTCGGGGCTCAGTCTGAATCCAGCCGTATTTTAACCTCCGTGTCTCAGAAGAGAAATCATTGGCCGTGACAGGGCAGCCAGGGGGGTCTGGGCTGCGGTAAAAACCACTGCCTTTCCAGGGCAGAGGGAGAAAGCCTCGATTCAAAGCCAAGCTCTGGAAGAGGACAAACGTCCGAGGCTGCAGGCTAGTGCAGTGTGTCCGCCCTGTGCCCCTGCAGCGGGCGTGGAGGGTAGAGGAGCGGTGCTCTGGGAGGAAACACGCAGCCACGCCCACCGTGCACCAGCACCGTGTAAGCAGCCTCTTCTGCCGGCTACACAGGGACACAGACAAGGCCGGCGGTCCACCCGACACCACACACGGTTGGGACCCCAGGCCCCCGGTGGGAGGGCTCCCCTGCGCTGTGTGGCCCCAGAACAGACTGTAGTTTCTCCAGATGCAGCCCCCAAGTGGCAGAAACGGCTGCCAGCGACACTGTCCTGATGAGCCTCGCTGACTCCGCGAGAACTGCAGAGGCAATGCTCCCTCCGTGGAACGAGGTCAAGGGCTCCTAAGAAGGGAAATGCCTTGATAGATACTCCCCCGGGGCGCCTGGGCGGCTCAGTTGGCTGAGCGTCTGACTTCAGCTCAGGTCATGATCTCACAGTTCGTGGGTTCGAGCCCCATGTCGGGCTCCGTGCTGACAGCTCAGGGCCTGGAGCCTGCTTCCCATCTTGTGTCTCCCTCTCTCTCTGCCCCTCCCCCGCTCATACTCTGTCTCTCTCTGCCTCAAAAATATACATGAAAAAGAAAATTTTTTCAATAAGAAATAAAAAAAATACTCCTCCTGTGTTTATGTCTTGACGTGTTACACTTTTTTTTTTTGCATAACTGTCTCGTAAGACCCAGCAATAGTGTCCTTAAGGCTCCCATCAGCTTTTTACAGAGAAGGACACCGAGGCCCTGAGGGGCGCAGCAGCACGGCCGAGGTCCCGCAGTCAGACAATGGCAGAAGTGGGCCCAACGGCTCCCTACATCCGGGCTCAGGTTCTTTCTACCATTATCACGGGAAGGTAGAGGTGAGGGGTAGGGGAAGGGCAGAGAGGTCACGCTCTGGATTCAGACCGCCTGCATTGGCCGCAGACACCTCTCACCTCACAGGGTGGCAGGGAGTCCTCAGGGAGAGAACCCACGCCGGGGTTGTGGTGCCCGGGAAGGACAATGACGAGGGCAAGGGCCGCGATTACCTGCTGGCAGGCTCGCCGTCCTTCAGCGGGTTTGGGATCTCCTCGCACGCGGTCAGGAGAGCGGAGGCCACACACACGGAGTAGGCGGCACTGGAGCCCAGGCCGGCCCCAGTGGGCAGCTCGGACCACACCCTGATGTCCAGGCTGGGCAGGGTCCTGAAACACAGTGGGGTGCAGGGCATGACTCTCCCGAAGGGTGGCAAGGTGCCGACGTCGCCCAGGACTGGACGTGGGCAGGGCCTGACTCCGAGCCTCTGGCCAGGTTTCTGGACTCGTGGACGTTTCCCGACCCCAAAAGCAGCCCTCCGGGATTGTAGGAAGTCGTGGTAACACAGACAACTTGGAAATAAATACCAGAACCACCTCCCTCCTGAACACACCGTTCCCTCCCGAGCCACCAACCATTTCTCTAAACTCCTTCCTGTTCCCTGCACAGGCTCTTTCGTGGCCCCGCTCTCTCTGTGTCCCTGCCTGGGATAGCTCTGCACCTCTTTAGCCCCCGGGCAAACTCCTAGCCATCCTGCAAAACCCTTCTCAAATGTCGCTGCCACCGTGAAGCTTCCGCTGGCCACCCACAGAACCCATTCCTAGCTCCCCTTGACGATCTCCACTACGTAGCCTTTCTCCACCACTGCCTCATGTTGGCGTGCTGTGTGCTCACGGGACCCTCTTCCTTCCTACCGGCCAGCAGTGCCCCGCTGTGTGTAACACGGGCCTGTTTTCTACCACTGGAAAGTTCAGAATCACTGTATCTTCTGTGTATTTCCCCCAAGCAAGGACTGTCAAATTTCGTGTCCTGTAGTTTCCATTAAGGAATTTTCCCGTCTTCCAAATATAAAACCATAAGGCCGAAGCTGCCTTTTCAAACTACACATGCCCACCCCACTCAGATCAGATTCTGAAATCTGCACCCCCTCCCCGAAGGGGACGTGCCCCACTTAAGTTGAAAATCCCACAGCGGACAGCAAGAGTGGAGGCGTTTATGAATGGGCCCTCTGCACCGTGCCTGTCCCCCAGCGTCTGCTGTATGAGTGACAAGCTGCCCCCTGAGGCTTTCCCTTTGGGTTTGAAACAGAAAATAATTATACTGAAACTCACCATGGGCTAGTTACAGAGCTAGGCCCACTTCATATATCGTATTTTCAATCCTCCAATAGTTTTCAGAGGAAATAATAGCTAACGTTTCTCAAGCTACGTGCCAGGCTCTGAGTCAAGCGCTTTAAATAAACAAACTCATTTAGCCTCACAAGAAGCCTACGAGGTAGGTATTATTACTACCCCCATTTTACAGATGAGGACACTGAGGCCCAGGAAGGTTAAGAACCGCAAGTAAGCTAATAAGTGGCCGCCGTGGGGTGCGAACCAATGCCATCTGACTCCCCATCACCACGTGACGTGGCCTCAGCAGTGAGCTGGCCTCCCTGAGGGCAAATAGCCCAAATCCTATCTTCAGGGGTGAGACGGACACAGGTATCACTTTGCTGATCACAGAGTTTCCCTGGAGTCTGCGGGATGAGCAGCAGGGGTGCCTCTGTGGACACAGCGCAGGAGAAGCCACGTGGTAGATTTGGGAGTCCGGCTTTGGGTCTAATGAATCGAAGAGGCCAGAGGAGGCAGTGGGGGGTTGAGAACGTCCAAGTGTCAGAACCCAAGTCAGCGGGGCTGATTCCCCAGCCCGGCCCTCAGTGTGTTTCTGAGTTTCATTCCTGGGCCAGATGAGGGCGCCCCTCTCAGAGCTTCTTAGGAATGTTAAAAGCAGACCATCTATCAAGGGTCCAGCCTGGCACCTGGGGCGTGCGGCGATGGCAAATGGCCATGGTCACCGGAACCCTGGAAGAAAGCCCCTGTGCTCTGCGGTAGCCAAAGCTACAGAAACCCTTGCCCGCTGCCCTGGGCGGGCTGAAGCAGGGCTCCCTCCCCGGACCATGCACACACCTCTGCTTCCGGCAGATGCACAGGTACAAGTATAGGAAGGCCAGCACGGCCGCACGCTCGGGGTCGGCACAGTCCTTGGGGAAGGCTGCCACCTCCTTCAGCTTCTCCACTAGCTCCACGGTGGGTGCCGAGGCGTCACCTTGCTCTGTCGCAAACAAGCACACGTGGCTGGGTGAGAGGGCCTCAGGTGCTTTTACAGACAACAGCACGCAGAGGACCCAGCGGGTCACGAGAATCAGAATCTGACGGGCATGGATTCACGGTCCGAGCGCCAGGGCTGAGACTGCCACCGGCCTTCAGGTTTTGCGGGCAGGTGGACTTGAGTTTGGGTCCCGACTGTACCATATGCTGGCTTTAGGGCCTTGAGTGTGTGACTCAACGTCTCTGATCCTTAGTTTCCTTCCTCCTTGGTAAACGAGATCATGACAGGACCTCCTCCAAGATAAACTTAAATAAGGTACAGGAGACCCTTAGCACAGTTCCTGGCATACAGGAAGTGTTTAATTAACAGTAGTTTTTGAAACATGCATACACACACAAGGCGAATGCTAGCTCGATCTCTCAGAGGTCTGGCTTTGACCTCCACAGAACAAAACCCAAACCACGGGCAGTATTAAATTATTCCCCAAACGTGTCCCTCTCCCGAAACATAACCTGCGAGGACAGGACGCTCAAAACCAGAGAATGTGAAGGGCTGAGGTTTGCTTGGGCAGCCGGGAGAGGCCAGATAGCAGTTTCTCTCTCGTGTGTGGGGGGGCTGTGCCACTTTCCTCCGAAAGCCTGAGCAAGCCTGACCGGCTTACCTTGACAAACCACTCCCTGAGTCACAGGTCAAATTTTAAAGTAAACAGAAAAAGGAGCTTGGTGTGCCTGTGTTAGGAAACTTTAGGGTGAGGCACTCATTAAAAGGGCTGTGGGCTAACTGAAATAATAACACATTAAAGGCAGCCGAGCCAACGGGCAGTGTTACTGAGGGCGCAGACATTTCAGAGCTCGGTGAAGGAAATGGAATAACTTGTTAAAGTGGTTGGAGAGTGGGGCACCTGGGTGGCTCAGTCGGTTAAGCCTCTGACTTCAGCTCAGGTCGTGATCTTGTAGTTCGTGGGTTCGGGCCCCGTTGCTGGCTCTGTGCTGACAGCTCAGAGCCTGGACCCTGCTTCGGATTCTGTGTCTCCCTCTCTCTCTTTGCCCCTCCCCCAGTTGCACTCTTTCTCTCTCAAAAATAAACATGTAAAGAAACTAAAAAAAAAAAAA